CTAACGCACTGCTGCAGGGCACAAACACCCCAAATTAAAATAAAAAAGGGCGACCTTTAACATTCAGGACCACAAATTGATTTACTATTAAAGCGTCTCCCACCTTGAGCACTTCCATCTTTAGGCCGCTATCGGACGACGGTCCATCGGGCATGTGCAGAGCATGCACAAACGCTTCTGTGAACTGCTGCACTACGGGGAAGATGAGCGCCTTCGCCGCACCCTAGAGAAACACACTCAAATGTAAACCTAAGGCGAGACTGGATCTCCACCTCCCTCAGCTGGTGCTCCTTCTCCAGCTGCTTCTTGTGTGACAAAAGATAATGCAAACTAATTCTATCCTGCCATTATTCACATGACAGGTCTCACCTTCTCAAGCTCTTCAATAGCACAGATGAGGTTGGCACAGGTGGTGAATATCTCCACTGCTCTGGATCGCGTACGAATACTGTACACCTGCAACAGAATTATAAAAGATTGTTCAAATACCTGGAGAATTTAACCGTTTTTGGAACAGTGACACACTGCGTAGCACCAAAATGCGTCAAAACCCGTCGTAGACCAGTAGAGATGTTGTAGCAATACCTCGGCCATGGTGAAGATCTTGTACATTTCAGGTAAGATGACCGGAGCCACCAGCGGCATCTGAGTATCCGTCACCTCCCGAGTAAACTCTGGATTCAACGACAAAGGTCTTGGTAAATAAACTGTAAACTTACCAGTTACGTAAAAAGGACGTCCGTGTAACCGTCTCAGGTGTGTCTCATCGTATACCTGTGAGGACCCTCATGGCCCCGTGCACAGCATTGACCTCCCCGCTGACCAGCATCTCCATCAGCAGCGTGAACAGCTGCGGCCAGGCCTCGGGCCAGTCCCAGTGGGCGATGGCCGACACGGCGTACGCAACGCTCGAGCGCACCTTGCTGATGGCCTCCCGCAGACCGCTGGGCAGCAGCTCCCGGATGGCGGCTTTAGCCTGGGAGGGGGCGCAGAGGGGGACATGTTTTATGAACGTAAATAAAACATTTGTCCGGCCAACGCTCAAGATTACTGTTGCTTACCTGATCGGTAGTTTCAGGAGGCCGAAATTTCTCCGACTGGGAGCACCAGTGAGTTTCGACATACTGCTTCAGGATAACCGACGCCAACTGCCAAAACACAGGCGATCAGGAGGGCGATCCATAACTTTGTCTGACATACCCTTATGGGCTAGTGCTCCTGTGCAAAGGTTCACTGTTGGACACCCACCTGACGGATAGCGAGCGCTCCCTGAGGATCGACTGTGAGTTCTGCCAGATGGACGCCAAACTCTACGGTAGGGTGCATGTACATGGTACATGGTACATGTGACAAAAATAAGAATTAATTCAGGCTCAGAAGATGCATTGTTTAAAGTTCTTTAGATCATTTATTTTCTACATTGACAGTAAAGAGATTTCTTGTGTTTCCCCGCTGCCTTTTATCCAGAATTTATACTGGATAGCGCTTCTGTCACATGAAACATCGGCTGCATCGTGACAAAAAGCCCATCTGTGATGCCACGTAAAAAGCAAAAATATTCAAAGACAGACAAGAAGAAGTCTCTTAACCTTAAATTTTACAAATGTTTAGGTGTGCAGTTGTGAGCCTTTGCACAACACTCAGTGACGACATTGATCTCATTTGGTTCCGAGGCACGTAGCTCACGAAGCAGACAGAGTCCACCGGTTTGAAACTGGCCTGCAGTGTGTGTGTGATAAATACAGTTCAGGATCAGAATGTCAAACCCCAGCTGATCCAGCTTTCTCTCTCTGGGTTTTACCAGGAGTGACATCAGGCGCCAGAAGACAATGTTAGTGCTGACGAGCGTACTGAGCGTCTGCCTTAGAGGGGGGCCGGGGGAAAGGGTCGGCCTCGCTGCGACGCTGCACCGGCGGACATTGTCCACAATCAGCCTTTCAGCTGGTGGGCACGAGGGACAATGGGAAGTCCAGAGGAATGAAAGCGAAAGCCAGTGGAGGGGGGTTACTGTATCCGTCTGCCCACAATGAGCTTTATATGACGATGAAACACATTATTTCCCCAAAAAGCCAATTGTTCCGATAAGGTATGCGGTTAATATCAGGTCTGTGGGATTTATTTTGACACCTTTAATGGTGATCACGACATAAGTTTGGCCGTTTGAGCCACTCTTTAATGAAATTGCAAAAGGTAAAAAGTTAAACTTCTTCCTTGCCTTGAAGAGAGAAATACTCAACTGGTTTGACATTGGAATCAAAGCGCCTGTCAGTAAATCACAGAAAGATGTTTTCAAGGAGCTACCTTTGTGAAACTTCACTTTTATTAAATAATTATAAACTTCAAAACGCAATGTGTTAAGTTTTTTTTATGAATCAAAACTAACAAATGAAAGTACACTAGTGGAAACCCTGTTTTTCCCCCTCACATAAACACATAACTGGGACTGAAAGAGCTAATTTGGGTTACTGCAGCGATGCACGTGGTGCAGCTGGTGTTTCTACAAGACCACTTTGTAGTAGTACAAGTAGTAGTACTTCATGCATGCGAGGACTTTCCCCTCACCGAGGTCCTGATGATGCAGAGACAGACACCTTCGCGGGTAAACGCTGTCACGGGGGATTCTGGGGTTGCCATAACGACCGGGAAATAAATAATGCGTTTAGGGAGTAACGTCAACATCACCTCCGGGACATTTAGGAGTCGGTTGGCATCCCGTTACCGTCGATGTTATTACGGATAAACGGCTGGAGGAGTTCAGTTGAATAAAGCCTGAGCATCTGAACAACGTTTTGAATGCCAATGTGCTCGAGACCAAGAAAGGAGCTTCCGGTGACGTCACGCTAGGCACCGTCACGCTAGCGGGACGTTAAACGAAGCGTTGGACCCCATCCGCTCGCCTCCCCACGTGCTTAAACGGCTCCGTCTTCACGTTACCGGCGGAAGTCAGAGATCCCCGCGGTGAGGCGGTTAGTCGGGAACGGTCCCACCGCGTCAGTCAGAGCGCGTCTCCCCCGCGTCCCCTCTCCCCCCCCCCGGCCGAGCTTTCAAGCCATGCCCGGCTTCTTCTGGAACCGCGGCCCTCTGTGGAGCCCAGGCAGTCGGTTAGTTAGTTAACTTAGTTCCCCGGCTAACAGTCCCCCGCCGTTAACTGCTTCTCAGACGACCCAAAGTTAGCACGGATACAGAGCGGCAGACAGCTGCTGCCTCCGAGGAGGCCCCTGCGGTTAGTGAGTGGGTGGGTGAGTGAGTGGGTGAGTGAGGGCACCGGGGAGTCAGCGGACCGCCGGTAACGCCGTCAAACCGCCGCTCACCTTCTGTCACTTCGAGCACTTTGACCTGCTCCTCCGCGGCGGCGCGCACCTCTTGAACCGGGGACAGGATGGCCGTCAGCGTCTCGATCAGAGCCTCTTTTAGCCCCTGCTGCACGGGGCCAGCGGCCGAACCGGACCGAGCACCACCCGCCGCACTCATCCCTGACGCGTTTTCACCCGCTACACGGTCAGACCAGCACCACCCGGGGAGGAGCAGAGAGCCACGGAGGCGAAGCGCGCCAATGCATGGAAACGTGGAGGCGGGGCTTAGCGGGAGGAAGCACAACCGCCGTCCGGTTCGCCCCACGTGTTTTATTATTATATGTTTTTTTGTAGGATCGGTCTTTGTTTTTAGACTCTGACGCCCTCTTGTGGTGTGGGGGGTAAACGACTTAAGTGAAAACAACGGCACATCAATTAGATATGAGGGTTTCAGAATAGAATTCAATTCACTGTGAACAATGCGGTGGAGATTTCTTTTCAAGTATTCAGTAATTGGTAGATTACCAAAGGGGTTACTCAGAATTCAAATCTCCACGGTGATTACTTGCTTCCATATGTTACGGCTAGGTACCCTTGTTTTAATTAGTAATTTTAGATGTTGGTATCTGCATGTTTTGAATTCATCTACATTAGTCATTTTAATTATTTGCATGTTTTAATTATCTATTTGTGGATTTTATTGAGATATGTATTTTTGCAGATGGGGTTTTAATTGTTGCCTTCCTTATTTCAATTAGTGGCTGTAGACTATAGTGCGTTTAATAATACATATATACATAACGTTTTTATTAAAACAAAAGTGGATTATACTGCCACTGTAATTATAATGCATGCAATAACATGTCTAAAACCTTAAAAGCAGATAAAATGAATCCTTAATATTCTAAATAAATAAAAGTATTATTTATCTTAAACTCCCATTTTGACATCACCAATTAGATGGTAGATATGCACTATGTCCATATCTAGTTCATCTCTGAGGAAGCACTGAAGGCACTTTACAACCCACAGCACCGCACAAGGTTCCGCCTGATCATCAACGTATTTATACACATACAACGGTATTTTAGACAAAGGTTTAGTAACTAATGGTTTGTGTGGACGAACCGGCCTTACCGTCACAGAGCCCTGACCTCAACTCCATCCAACGCCTTGGGAAGAAAAGAAGCCTCAATGCGTTTTATTGCTGAAGGAGAAATTACAATCCTCCCGTCAACATGTTCTTGCTCCGACAACTGGACTGATGGAGGATCGGCGAGCTCGAGATGAACGATGACGACCTCTCTGCATCTGTTCCGTGTGCTGCAGCATCCTTCTAGTTTAATATCTTAGTTTAATCTTCCTAAGAAACTACTCAGTTGTTCCATTTCCTCCTCCAGAGGCTTGTCAGGCAGCCTCGTGTATCCTTTGCAACATTTGTAAAGGCCGAAAACGTATTTTCCCATTACCTTCAATAATCATACTCATGTTTTGTCTTTCAAATTATAGAGATCAATAAACAAATTATTCTAAACAACAACTCCGGGAGACTTGAGAAACAAGTCGCCGATGTCATCTGCATATCACGGCCATGGTGGATCCCATGAAGTGAATCTTTGTCTTGTTGTGAAAGGGGAGTTGTGCAGGATGTGAGGATGAAAACTGTGACATTTCTAAAGACTGATGGGTGTCAAAAACAAGGATTAGTTTACTCTCAGGCGCCAGTTTATTAGCTAAAATGTACGAAGTCTGATACAACAGGGAGTCAATCCTACTGTTATTCATGAAATAGTTTTTTTTGGAAATTGCTTGGAGGTCTCATCCAACATTAACTTCACTTCGGAGGCTGTAGTTCGTGAAACGGTTGATCTGCTTCCACATCACTTTTGGGAACTTTGTGTTGGTCAAAAAGTTACATAATCGCCTCAATTATTTGTATTGCGTATGCGGGTTTGCTTTTATATGTACTGTGTTAAGCATGTTTCCTTCTATGAATAGAAAAACGTTTCTCACTTTGCATTAATAAAGGTCTCTGCTGGTGTGTTTTCCTTTTTTTTTTTATTACCTAGAACACTTTGCAATGTCTCGTTTTGATAAATAAACCTAATTTATAATACATTTTACCAAGAGGTGTCTAATATAGAAGACCTCTGACTCCAGGGCGGCGTTTTATGACAAGTGCACCTAATAAACTGTCCACTGAGTGCATGTGATGTAAAGATCTAAAATAATCAGCCTAAGAAGGAACCAAACACTAACACAACCATTTCTTCTTGGTTAAGCAAAAAGAATTTGGTTTATGTAGAAACAAGCAACGTTTTCAACTGGATTCCCCTCTTCTTCAAAAGAGTTAAAGCAAAGATGAAAAAAGAAAACAAATGAATATATCGCACCGAGAATCGCCAACTTCTGAACATGTATGCAGATGCTACTGGCAGAAAGAGCTATACGTGTACAGTACATATATATATATAAAATATAAATTCTGAAATATATTTTATATATATTAAATTGTGTTAGGGATCAGGCTTCTAATACACAGCATTAAGGTGGTGTGTCTGATTATCTTTTTTTTTTTTTTTCAAATCCTTTTATATAAACCAAAGTGTCAAAGCAAAACAAACAAATTAAGGAACGAACAAATGTGGGGTGGGAGGCAGAACAACAACTAAGCAGACGGACGTACTTAAAGCCACAGACGAAAGGCCTCCGCCCCGACCCAACACCCCTCCCCCAGGGGGGCGAGCCAGCACGGACGAGGTGGGACGGGCCCGTCCAGCTGTACAGCGCAGTGAAACATAACTTACATATTAGCTCTTTTTTTCCTTTTTTTTTTTTTTTTTTACACGTACAGTCGTGATCAAGGCACAGGGATCTTCTACAAGTTATTGGTTTTTTTTCTTCAATAAAGTTGTACAAAATAATACATTTTACAATCTGTACAAGAATTATAGTCCAGCAGTAAAATAAAGACAGAAGTACTTAAAGCGGGACTGGGGGGGGGGGGTGAGAATTATACGAATGGTGAGGGGACGACGTCGTGTGGAACGAGAAGAGGGACTGATGAGGGCTGGAGCGTGAACGTGTGTGTGTGTGTGTGTCTGTGTGTGTGTCTGTTCCAGGTAAAAATGTTGCATTCGGTTGTGATATTAACTTTCTTTTTCTGCAAGCTTTCCTTTTTGTGTTGTGATTTCCTAAGTTAAAGCCTCATGTATTGAGTAGCTGTGTAACAGCAGCAGGGCGGGGTGGATGTTAGTGTGTGTGGCCGCAGGTAGGGGGGTTTTAAACGGTGCACAAAGGCAGATCACACAAACAGTGTACACCAACACACAACAAGGGGGAACAAAAAGTTGATTTGTGTCATTATAGGACTATATATCTAAATATATACACATACATGTATAGATATGTATGTATATATATATATAAATATCTATATATAGCTTGTTTTTTTTTGCACTGCCTGAAGTTCACTGGTATGCATGAATGAATGCACTGTATGCTATTTCTTTTTCTTCTTCGGCCCTTCGTACGTTGGTTCCTTGGAGAGCAGCTCACGCGTGGTCCTATGCTAGAGTCACGCTCGCGTCCACAGGCGGCCTTTAGCCAGTTAGTCCATCCGTCCGTCCATCCGTCCGTCCGTCCGTCTGTCTGTCTGTCTGTCTGTCTGGGAAACAAAAACACTCACAGCCCTCCTTGGTATCAGTTTGCCACCCTCCACGTCCACGGTTCCCTTCTCCCCCCCCCCCCCCCCCCACCCCTCCGCCACCTTCAGCACGCCACGAATGACCTCGTCTCTCTCAGAGTACATGATTTATTTCAGCCTCTAACAACTGCTCAAATCAGAAGGACTTAGTTTTTAAAGGCTCTATGTGTGTTTGGGTGATATGAGACATCGGAACCTATCTAAGCGCTCTGAATGGCTTTAGTGTGTGTGTGTGTGTGTTCATACATCAGAGAGTGAGTGAGCGCTGACAGGAGGGATAGCCTGCACTGAGGGATTCCAGCTCTGACCCTCTTCCGTGGGTCAACATGTAGCCGAGTGCAGCAGTCAGTGCTGGCTGACGGTGCGTGAAAACGTTAGTGTTTCTTCCAAAAGACAAAAAAAAAAAGAAGCAAAGTCTTTCCTCTGTTCTGGTTTTCTGAACCGGGTAAAGTAGTGTTGCATCAGGATGAAGTTGAACTTGAAGTGGAGGGAGTGATTGGCTAACTGGTCGTGGGGGGGTCTGGGTGGGGGTAGATAAGTCGGTCAGTAGGTGCGAGTCAGCCGGACGCCGCCGCCCATCACAAGAGCTCGTACTGCCGAAGGTGCATCCTCTGTATGATGTCGCGACAGTCATTGAAGACGCGGCGGATGTTTTCTGTGTCCACGGCGCAGGTGAAGTGGGGGTAACAGTAATGCCGCCCGTCCCCGCTGGCTGTACTGATCCTCTGGAAAGTAAACACAAAAACACAGGATAAGTTATTGTTGGCACATCGGCGGACAACCAAAGAACTGTGACGTATTGCACACTTTCTGTCCAAGAGAAAAACCCAACAGCTTCTTTGGCTTCTTCATTTTAACTGATTCTATGAAAAATGGAGGACACCCTTTTTTTGAAAGTCAAACAGAGGGCTCGCTCAGATGTCGTGGACTAGAACCACATCCATGTAGTTCAGCTGTTAAAACAGCGAAATGTCAGATTATGTCTTCAGTTTAGGTTACCTACACTGTTCTGTGAACCCAACAGGTACATTTATCAAGATAATATAAAACACAGATAATGGAAACGCTGAAACCTGAACTTGGTACATACCAGAAACTCATCCCGAATGAAGTACTTTGCCCTCGTGACTCGGGGGTCCTCACCTGGCTCAGGTATTGCTGTTGAACAGGGAGAAATCTAGTCACAATAAAGTCATTTTTTTGCCATTAAACGTGTTGTTCTTCCTGGTTAACAGGAGCTACGAATGGTAAAGTTAGCAAAGACATGATTACTTACAGAAACCGTGTGGCTGACATTATTTGTAATGGCGGTTATTGTAGCTCAGTAACTAAATGTAATGTGCTACAAAGTCCTGGTGAAGATGGAGCTACGTGTTGTTTACCAGATCGGTTATTACCACAAAAACAGGCATGTTGTTATTATTTATCATATCAGTTTCAACCTCTTACCGTCATCGGGTGTAGTGTAGCGTGCAAACTCCGGAAAATACTCCTCAATCTTAGATTTGCCTGCCAACACCTTCTCAGCGAGCAGGTCCTGTTTGTTCAGGAAGAGGATTACCGAAATGGTCCGTAGCCACCTGGGGAGGGAGATGAAGATGGAGTTCAGAGACAGATTCCCACAAAAAGACGTTTCAGGTCTGTTGCTGTAGAGCCCCGACGGTTACAGAGGCATGATGCTTCAATAGGGTGGGCCGGAAGGAGTTCTGGAACAAGAACATTTTGTAAATAGCATTTAAGCGACACTGTGCTTTTAAAGTGCACTTAAACTAAACAGAAACGTCTCAATCCGTTACCCAAGAAACATTATTTTTGTCAGAGGAAAATGAGCAGCCACAAGAAGATCTTCGCTGTAGAGGAAAAATAAAAGGTTCAGTCCGAACACAACAAGGTGTTTCAGTTCTTTCGATGATGAAATATTTTCTGATTTCTTTTAGGCACACTAAAGTCCCCACAATGAGGGAAAAGACAAACCCCAACACTAGCGCGTGCGATCCTAACCGGTTGTTCCAAATGTTCTTGAAAAGGTTGAGGGCTTCCTGCAGTCTGTTGGTCTGATTGTCTTCTCTGATCACCATGTTGTAGCTGCTACTCGCCACCACAAAGATGATGGCGGTCACATCTGTGTCACACGCAGACAAAGAGGCAAACACTCCTGATCAGGTTTACATCCGCAAACAAAGACCTCTGGCCGAACTAGAACAGTTTTGTTTTACAATGAAGCAACTCGAGCTACAAAAAACGTACCGTTAAAACACTGAATCCATTTTCGACGTTCATCCCTTTGACCTCCAACGTCAAACATGCTGCGAGACAAGAGGTTAAAAGTTGACTTTGCATTGGGAAAACAGTGAAATGTGAATCACATGAAATAAGACCTCTTTAACCCAATAAAAGTAAAACATTTCAGGAAAAAAATAAATAATAATTTGTGATCGGTTTATTACTCGATCATAAATTAGAATTGCTTTTGTAAACCAGACGGTGTGATAAATAAAATTAGTGGTAACTCACTGGAAATTGACTTTGTCTATTTGAAATCGTGTCTCAAAGATCCCAGATGTCAGCACTCGGCACCGCAACAGGTCCTGAAGGGCAGAGACAGAACCGGACAGCGTTAGATAGTTTACGATAAATCAAGAAAAGGGTTCAGGCATAGGAGAGAGAGAGAGAGAGAGAGAGAGAGCTGTCAGGAAGATGGACACAAGATGGTAATAAAAGGGGGTAACAATACTAAATACAAAACTATTAACAGAAGCATATAAAAGGAAAGAAACTCAACTCTAAACTCCAATAATAGACGGTTTATCTATATTAAAGCAAACTTTGAACATTCAAGTCATAGAATATGCTTTGTGTCAAATATAACAATTTGAGTGAAACAGATTTTTTATTAAAAATTTACAGTTTTTTAATTAATTGATTAATTCATTATAGTATTAGATGTCAGATAGTTTCCATGGAAAATCCCACCCAATAGCTCTGTTGAGCAGTTTATTCACCCTCTGCCAATTCATCCCAGAGTCTGCAGGCTGTGTCTAAAATATTTGGGATGTACCAATTTTGACTTTTTCCCTCCTGGATAAACAAAGTGAACAATTAATCTACTGTCAACATGGTTGATATTTCATTTAAATCCAGAAAATTGTTTATTGACGGACTTTTTTAGCACTACAGAGCAGATTCAGTGCTTGCATATGACACAGCAAGAGTGTGTGTGTTGAAGATCTCACCTGATCAGTGGGTGTGTAATCACTCTGCCTGACCACATCGATCCTGTCCAAGAAGCTGCAAAATGAACAGAAAAATACAGTTCAATTTAAACTGCAGCTGCTGCGCTGCAGGCACATAAAACAAAAGATATGCATAACTCAGTAAAACATCAATATTTCCACAGGTTGATTGCATTCACCCCCCCACACACATTGCCTTATGGTGTGAATTATCCTGCTGTGGTACATAGGGAGAACAGTGTGCCCCCCCCACACACACACATTACGTACATCCTTGTGCATCAGTGCAAGCAAAACAAAGATGATGACAACGTCTGTGAGCGGCCACCAGGGGGCATGTTTTTGAATTCACTGTGAGTTCAGTCTGAGTCACCAGCAGCAGCAGCAGCAGTTTGCTCTGTCAAACCAGAGGAGCCTCATCAATGGAGCCGCTGTAGTAATACTTGCACAGGAGGCGAGGTGTGTGTGTGTGTGTGTGTGCGCACACACATCGATATGTATGGGCGTGGGCGGGAATGCAGGCCCACATGGGCATCAGATTTGCAGAGCGCTTACCCAAATGAATGCTAATTGTTCCGATGAACTGGCCTACATAACCGCTGCTTTTAAAGGTGTGTGTGTGTGTGTGTGTGTGTGTGTGTGTGTGTGAGAGAGAGTGATCTGCTCATGATGACTGTATCCAGGTCACCTGCTGCAGATGTTTGTCTCACTCCAAACAGGCCAAGAGAAAGATACTTTCACTCGAGCATCTTGTCAAGGAAACACAAGAACATTCCTCTCAAGCATCCCGGGCTGAGGAGGAACAGTTCTTAACTGCCCCGCTTGTCCCGACGCGTCTCTCGGGTGTACAGGACAAAACATCACGCACGAGGACGGACAGGAGCTTCTCCGCTCAGATCGTAGAGATATTGAGATAGAGAGATAGAGAGAGCTGACCCAGCGACACAGAGGGGAATTCAATGATAATCTGGAAGCAGCAGCTCTCATTCGTGTCCCACCGGCCTGCATCGAGCACTGCTGGTTTTCCCACAACAATCCTCTGAAGGGAGAAGCAGCGACACGTCAGCAGACAGAGAATAATATACAGAGGCCCTCGCGAGGCATCGGAGGATCGGCCCAGTAGAGTTCGTACCATTTGCTGCATTTGATTCTCTTATCAGGGATTATCTCCCGTTTACACATTTATTTATTTTTTTAGCATTTACAGAGAAGGTGCCTGCAGAGGGTCGGAGTGAAGTCTGCTCATGTGTAATCGCGGGAGCCCAACTTTTGCCGCATGAATCCACAAAATACAAACACAATAGGACACATTTGTAAAATGCATTATTACGGGAGAGAACGTTAAAATTATTACCGACCACAAACGAGGTATCGTTGTGTGTGAACGACCAAAAAGAATAAGAACATAATCTCCCGTAGACGGTCGTGGTGGATTAGGCAGGAAAAGTCTCAACACACATTTATTTACTTAGGTTTTCTATTTAACAATTCACTTTTCTGACGGGGTGATTAAATAAGCAGTTATCAGACAACCAGCAGTACTAAAACTCACACAATTAAAGAGTTAGTAGAGAAGCAGAAGAAAGAAAGGTGGTTATTTTTTAGAAGTGCCTTTGATATTTGCTTGAGATTCACTTGGGAACATAAAACATTGAGGCCTCTACAAACAATATTCAAATAAAAACACGTAAAGGGTCAAACGCTCTTTGCATGCGTCGACCCACTGAGACCAAACAGCGACGCAGCTGCAAGCGATACATCTATTTATTTTTAAAGAAAGGTTTCTAGCCATATCTTCCAGTGAAGGTGTGCCCCCCTCATTTGAACCCCCCCCCTCCCCCCCACTGTATTGACTTAATAAAAAAACAGCTTTCATGAACGTAACATTCCGCCTCCGAGCTGAGGCGATAATTTGCACAGAAAATGACACATATTTAATGGCCGAGGTGAACGTTTACACGGTGGACTAATGGCTAAACTAACAAGCAGATACTCTGCGTCAGGGCAGCGCCTCCCGACTCCACTTATTCATTTCCTGTAAGCCTGCAAACGGAGACAAAAGCGCTCCTCTCCCTCCCCGTTTGATGCTCGCACGGCCTCCCCGCTGTGACCGATCGCCCCTCCCCCCCCCGTCCCGGACCCGGCCAGGGCCGGCTTACACGGGAAAGGGCAGAGACGCTCGCTAGTTGCCGCCTCTCCCCCCCCCGCCCCAAAAGGTATGCAACCCTCTCTGAGAGAACTAGGAATGTGGCAGGCAGGGGTGAAATGTGACAAGAGGGCTGCAGGTAACACTGAGAGTAACATGTAGGGGGGGGGGGGGTCTGCCAAAGCTACAGCGTTGGACTGGACGCACAGACTGAGGAGTGGAAAAAAAATAACATTAAAAAAAATTTAAAAAAAAGAAGAGAACGAATGAGACTGAAAGAGAAACAGAAGAGGACAAACAGTTTGAGGGGGGGGTACAAAAGACACACAAACAACCTGCATGCGACAACATCAACGCTGCGAGGGCGACGGGCTCAAACATGGCGGCCGTCCGCAGAGGCCGAAGTCTTGTTTATCTTACGGCTGCGGTCGGAGGCGGCGACGCGCCCAGGACAAACACGCTGCTCAATTTTTAGCAGTTCTTCCTATTAATAGTAGCGCCAGTAATAACCGTGCCCAGTAGGTTGAGCTAAATAATAGTGGCTGCCCCAGTAACAGAGGGGTCTGCGGCGTAGGAATAACCTGAGAGGGTTATTCTGGGGTGGCAGACAGGCCGAGTTAAACTCTGGATGTACACAGTGGACTCCTGTCTGGCGAGTGGAAATAAGTAAGTAAGTATATTCTGATCTTTTTAGGGCGCGTGTCTCTTAGCTACAGCCTAATTTTAGGCATGGTCAACAATAGTCTGGGGTTTAATATAGGACGCACCCAAAATGGAACACGTTATGTGTGCAATGTGTATTATTATTTTTATGTTTTGTTGAATTAGATGACCCTGGACACTTTATAATCAAATACACAAGTGTAGACTACATGCTCGAAATAAACTTCATTCAAATTTCTGACGTGAAGAAAGTAAAAAAGACGAATAACAAAATGTACTTCTTGTTATTCACGTTCAAGTTTCTTCCTTAAATAGACAGTTCTCAAAATACTTGTTGTTTACGTTGCCTTCAGACACTCAAAATGACTTTGACTGTGATTTAGTATTTTCTGTAAATAACACAACAATCAAACAGAGATGTTTCCATGCTGGAAGAATTTAAGCAGCGTACCACAAAGCTGATAACCCCATAATGCATTAATCCATCCTGTTAAAGTGGCAGTAGGACAAAGGATTACCCAGATTATGAGCTAGTTTACATGTTAGCTCTACCAGGGATTAGGCCGCTCAGAGGACTCGTCAGGCCTCCACGCTTACAGCGGCACGGAATTGTAAGCATAAAAAATATTACAACACAAGAGGACTCAAGTTACTGATCATTTAAATTTTACCTCATCTGAACATTTCAATTTGCATTTTTGACAGGGTTCATACAAACAAAGACTATCTGGGGACTTTTGCTCTGCATCTGAGCAACACACACACACACACACACACACACACACACACACACACTAAAAATTCAACAAGAAACTTACTTTCATATTCAATTCATGTTTAAAATTTGCAAAAGCTAAAATCATCTCAAATTCAGAACTGATCATAAATAAGTAAAACTAATACTTCTGTCAAACTGAAAATGAAACTGGCTAAAAAGCTCAAAATTAAAAGATGCAATTGTATATTGTTACATCCAGAAACTTAACGAGAAGGAGGGTTAAAAAAATAGCAACACAAAATTTAGACCTTCTTGTAAAATATCTGTGAAAGTAACCTAAAAAGAATTTACTACAAATGTCACAGAATTATTTATATGTTTAAACTGCAAATCAGAAAAAACAGCTTTAACAAACTGTTCTCATAAAAAACTGTGCCATCAGTGTGAAGTATTCACGCTAAATTGTAAATTCAGGCTAAATTAGTAAATCAGAAGCCGAAGCTTCACAAGGCTCCTAAACACCAACTCATAAAAGTCAGAAAATGGCCTCGGTGCTTCTACAACAGGGGAAAAGATGGCGCGGGGCTTCGCCGCTTCTTCAGACGTTAACGCCTGAGATTGCGAGACGACCAAACCAAAAGGCTCCGGCAGCCGATCCCTAATCAAACACACATCCAGCACGAGAGGGAGGGGGGAGGGAACAGGGGGAGAGAAAGAGGAGGAAAGAAAAGAGAGAGAGAGAGAGAGAGAGGAGGCCGTGTCTGACATTACAGAGTTGCTCCAAAAATAGCTCCCTGGCGCCCTGGCCAACAGCTTGGTTGTCATGGCGACAGAACCACAGGCGCTATAAATAGACAATCGGCTCCAGATCTTTGTGCGACTGGAAAGAGGCCAGAAAAGGGGGGAGAGAGAGAGAGAGAGAGAGAGAGAGAGAGAGAGAGAGAGAGAGAGAGAGGAAAGGAGGACGGGTAGAAACGGGAAAAGAAGGAATGACAGAAGAGGAGAGAAGCAGAGCGAGCAACAAAGAGATACAGAGGGACAGAAATGCAGAAAATGAAGTGGGATAGAAAGGCGGCAAGAACAGGAAAAAAAGACAAATTAAAGGGAAGAAAGGCAAAAACAAAATAAAAAAACTACTATGCTTAACGAAAGAACCACAAAAGAGACAGAAGAAATGATAATTAAACAAGACAACAAGTAGATCACGGGGCGGCACGATCGCCTCACAGCAAGAAGGGCCTTTCTGTGAGGAGTCTGCATGTTCTCCCCGTGTCTGCGTGGGTTCTCTCCGGGTTCTCCGGCTTCCTCCCACAGCCCAAAGACTCTCTGCTCTGGGGATCAGGTTGACTCTAAATGGCCTGTAGGTGTGCGAGTGTGAATGGTTGTACGTCTCTGTGTTGGCCCTGTGATTGGCTGGCGACCAGTCCAGGGTCTCTCGTGTGCAGGATAAGCGGCGTGAAGATGGATGGGACAAATACATCAGAAACAAAAACTGAAAAACAAGTTAGTAAGTAATAGTAAATGAATAAAGTAATATTAAGTGAAAAACCAAGATCAATATGAGAAAGAAAAAGGACACATTAAGGACCAAGAAGAAAATGACAGAAATCTTGGAAGGAACAATACTAAGACTAAGAACAATAGGAAGAGTAAAAGCAAGGGAGCATTTAGCAATGAAGTAATGAAACAAAAAATGACACAAGAACATCTTAAAGAAAGATATAAAAACACGAGAGAAAAAGAAAAATGGGCAAATAGTGGTTGAAAAAGCTCTACTGTGAACAGTCGCTGATCATCATCAGCAACACAATGACTGAATGATTCACTAAATCCCAAAGTCCCGCCCTCACTTTTGACACTACAAAAGTGGACCAGACTCTCTTACACACTCAGACGCTTTTAACATCGGCAGCCTTGAAACACATATTCAGAATCCTGCCACTCCAAATATAGACAGTCATCATCGAAGGCACAATCAAGTGAAAAATTCCTAATTATGCACCCTAACTTCAATCAATGGGCAGTTGTAGTTGGGGAGAAAGACAACAGTTTGTCTGAAACCGCTCACAACAGGATCTGAAGTATGCGAGCTAACTGGGTCATGATTTCTGAGAGGAGACATTGCCGGCGAGGTTTTTTTCTAAAATGTATTTTAGGCGCTTTGAGCACCACAAGGCGAGTGCCATCTAGTTCCATTTTATTCCGACTGATATCTCCAACATTCAGCTTCCCACGACAAAACAATATGACTCGATAGTTCTATTTTGATAGATTATATTCTATAATATAATATTCTATAATAGCTGGTTAGTAGAAGTAACAAATTAAAACGTAAGAGTTTTTTTGTGTTAAAAGTGGGCCCTCCTGAAGCCTCGGGCAACCTCACGGTGACAACTAGCAGTACTACTTTGAGAAACAAAGATTTATTATGGGGGGGCGGGAGGGTTATTTCAGGACAACGTTGACGACAAAGTACAGAAACCAGAGAAACAGGGATCCTCTTCTGAGACATAAACCCGTTCACCTCATCAACCACAACAGCATCCTTGGAAACAAACTGTGTGACCATATGAAGGGGCGGGAGGTGTTGATGAAAACACACACACACACACACACATCAGAAACACATCGTTTCGGAGCATGACGGAGCAAAAGCAGCCAGGGATGCGTCAGTGACTTCCGTCCCACCGGACGCAGACGGCTCAGCATCACTTCCCGTCAGCTTCTTCACCGCTCCGGTTTGTTTTCATCACCACGTCGGATGACATCATTTGCGTGTTCTTTGTTTTTGCTAAAAAGGAAGAAGGCGGGGACGCGCGGGGTTCTCCTGACTTTCCCCCTCACCGATCCAAGGTTGACATTTTCCTTTTATGCCAACAGCCTTCATCAATAATGCCGACGTTGTCGCTCACCAAACACACTCGCTCATTCTTTCTCCTCCTGCAGCCCGCCTGGGTTAAAAATAGCTCTCCTCTCTCTCTCTGCTTCTCCGTTTACATAAGCACACAGAGGGGGGAGGGGAGCACTTCCGGTCCGGCCACCCAGCCCAGCATCTGATCCATAACACTGGGCCTGCTGGGTGTGGGAGAGAGGAGAGGAGAGGAAAGGAGGAGAGGAGAGGAGAGGGGTCCCGCAACGCAGAGAAGACCTCTTTCCGTTTCAAATCGGTCTCGATAACCGTTTTTGCTTTCAATCGTTCCGTATTTCCTTTAACGCAGATTAGAGATTAGAAATTAATGTATGAGGCAGAACTTGTCCAATTTTTCGCCACCCTCGTTAATCACTTCACGACCACACAGATTTATCTTGGAGACCCTTTGGAGGGTCCGGAGCCATAGGTTGGGACCAACTAAACCTGGTTTGCCCGGCTGTCAGTATTATATATGTCACTTACAATACGGATCATCAGTATTGTATATGACCGTTTTGGGCAGAGTAACCACTTTTAATTTCAATACTCGAATAACATTTTTGAGGTGAAATGAATGTTCCTTTCCTTGAGTAGGAGTCTGAATGCAGAACTTTACCTAGTGGATCATGTTAGTGGTGTAAAGGATCCTCCCGCTTCATGTGACCACCGCCTTAGAACAGATCAAACAGGAAGATAAGACTAAAAAAGACTAAGACGAAAGAAAGCTTGGAAGAGGAGGGAGAACTGACGAGGAAGGTTTGGGAAACGGAAGGTTTTTTTTGCGTCTCATCACACACCGAAATTGACAAAAGTCAGCAGAGCGACGCCCACATCGCTATCATTGACCAGAGACACACTCACACACACAAACAGACCAGTGGGTCGGTGTCTCGGCCGTTTGGTAGGACTGCTGACTCAACTTCACTGCGACCTCATCGGAAACGCTATTTGTTGACCAGTATCGCTCCATACGAGGATGTCCAAGGATGAACCCAGGGACGGTCTCCATTCTCCATTGTGCCGCTTTTAGCCACGTGCTACCGCTAGCATGATAACATGCGCACAATGTCCCCTCCAACATGGGGTTTCGCCTAATGTCTGCCATGCTTAGCATCTCAGTTTAGCACGTTAGCAAGCTAACATTTGCGCATGCGTTTGAATTCAATTGTCTTAGTGAGAAAAGGGAAGTCCGTCTCAGCGTCGGCCTCCACTTACACATGGATGCACGTTTAATTGAACGTGTGAAGGTGAGAAAAGGGAAAGGAGGGGGGCTTACTACTGCGCGCAGTCGATGAGTTGATATTCGTTGGACCTTTCCCAGCAGGCCCGCACGCCCTCGTCCTGCCAGAGGATCTTTGTATGGTCGTAAAACTCCTGCAGAGCAAAACAAGAGGGGTCTGGATCAACAGCACAGCAGAACTAGAACATAACACAGATAACAGAGTCAGACTCTCATTTTAGGATCTCTGAGAAAAATAAATAAAGAAATAAAGAAAGACACAATATCAACAGCTGAAGGAGGCGTGTGGGCATCAGAAAAATAATAATTGCAAATAGCAAAAGCTTTGTGTCTTATATTTCTCTGGGCTTTCAGAAGAGGAGAGATAAGTGGACGAGCACTGAACACATTGGGCCGTGATAGAAACTAATTAAACGACTTTTCTTTCTCTTTTCTACCATTATACAAAAAATAATAATTTCTGGTACTTTGTAGAGAAGAATGACTGATGTTTGTTTGATGAGGAAAATAATTAGCGAGTCGCAGCCTTAAAGAGGATAGAAATGGTGACGTAGAAGCCCGCGAACAGACGTTAACCACGCCGCCTTTCGACACACAACAGGCCGTCGACCGCAAACGTCGGCCGATGGCCACGTGGGGAGCGGGTCGGCGCGACGCCCCCCGGCCGGCGTGGTCCTCCGGCAATGGCCGGCTCGGGGAGGAGAGGAGCAGCAGACGAGAGGCAGGAAACGGAGGAGTTCAGAGAGTTCAGGCGGAGAGCTTTGTGTGGAGACAAGGCTGGGCTGTCCCTGCGCGGGGGGGGGGGCCTATCTCCTCACTGCCATCTACAGAGGGTCACGTACAGCGCGGACGAGCACAGATACGCCATTATGAGCCGTGGAGTGGAAGTGCGTAGCCTTAAAAACACTCCATGCTAACCGAGCGGAGGCACGTTCCGAATGACGAGTACGTTTGGAAAGATTTTAAAAAATTATTTTAAAAAAATGAAACGTGAGCAAGTACGAATTAATTTCCACATAATGAAGCAGTTACTTACTAAACAGCAAAAAAAGTTCAGTTTAACTGTTATTTGTGTTCTTTTTGCTCGTGTTTTCATTCATCCTCTTCACTTGAAATAAAGGCCTCAATACAAATCGGACTAAATGTAAGAAAAAAAAAAGGCAGCCTGAAGTGGGGTTGCTGAATTTTTAAAAAAACTTTGTTGAGTTTTTTAATAACATTGACTATACCGACAACACTAGGAGCGCGGACGATCGGGTAATTCTTTTTCAAGGCGATTTTTTTGAGGATTTTGTTTTTTCCCTGTGAGAATCAAAACTAAACGAATTACCGATTAGAAACGAAGCTCAGGAGGAAATCAAGACTTTGGAGTTTCATTCCAGGCCTCGTGCTTATTTTTCCCTCCCTCTCTGCTGAAGGCAGAGTCAACCAGTCCGACTGGTTTCCATTAGGCCCTCAGGCCGGGTGAGGGGGAGCGGGTGGAGTAGGTGGAGGAGAGGCTGAGCCTATTAAATAGTTTTCAACTGTATTCTCCTTCCTGAGCAACCACCGACTGACTGGGTCGAGTCAAAAGCCAAACCTTTCGGCCTTCTTCTTGTCTATTCAAACGTTCCCGTGTTAGCAACAGAAAGCAATTGAGGTACTGGTTTCATTGCAATAAAGTTGGATTAATCATCTCAAGTGTGATAGTTTAAAGCTACGAATCACTCATTGAACCTGTGAAACATTTAAATCTGCAAACATATTTCGAACCACCAAATCAAATCAAAGCATGAATTTAAATTTACATACCCCAGTAACTAAGTCAGGTATTTGGAAAAAACATTTGAATTGGATTAAAATTTAAAATGAGTCTCATTTATGAGAATTTAGACGGCTGATTATGGGCTTTGATTTGAATCCTGAAATTTAGCAAAACTTACCTTTTTGTAAGAGGCAGAATATGAGTTATTGAACAATTGTGTTTTGTTTAACAAGCAGTCCAAAAACCCAAATCTTTACTCATTTTCGTCATTCTGCTTAAAAAACTATTACTCAATCACCAGAATTGTCACGAAATATTTTAGCCTTCAATCAATTCATCACATATTTGACCGATTGTCTCAGCTTAATCAAACAACTTCATCATAGTTGGTTTGGTCTTGTTACCATGAGTGCAGTGAGCCTCTTGAGGGACGTGGGACGCTCAGGGGAGGAGGGAGGGGGGGGGGTTCCCTCTACACGCATTTAGGGTCATTACACACAATTAGCGTAAATAGGCTGTGCCTCCCAGGTGAGAGGCTCATTCAATTGACAGCCTCCCAAGCGGAAGCACACCTGCGAATTGCTGAATCAGCAGGTGGATTTCTGAAAAGACCTTTAACGGTCGGCATGCAAGCCACCGTATCAAATCGCTTCCAAACGTGGCCTCTGGTAACAGAAGGTATCAGTTTGATCGGCACAACATAGACTGACTCCAGCTGACGTGTGCAGGAGTTAGAGAGTCAAACGATCCCGAGGTGGTGGCGTGAAACTTACCGAAGAAAACTCAAAATCCTTCTGGAGGACTCGGTTGAGGACGTATTCGAAGCGGCTCCGGTTTGCGGGACAGGCTATTTGGCAAGGCGGTGTCAGCGTTGTCATGGCGGCGACTATCGTCTGGATGGAGGGACAAAATTCATCACACAAGTTCATTTTGAAGGTTAAGCAATGCCTGAAGTCATTTTTTTTTAAAACAAGTTCAGGAAGAAAGTTTTTTTAAATTGGTAATCTAATGAGTTTTTAACCTTTTTCTTTAGGTGCTAAATTGTATTGCTTTCTTAGCTCAAATTTTTGCAGCATAGAATTAGAGGGAAACGTGCAACAAATCATTGAAAATGGGCCCAAAGATGAATCTCTTACCTCTATAGCTTCTTTAATGTTGTTTTTAATATCGTGGATTTTCTGTTTTTTCTCCCTGGGAAGAACCAATAAAGGTTATTGTTGTGCACTCAAAAGCATTATTTAAAAGAACACAAATGATCCCCTCAAGGAAAGAAGGTTTGCTCTAATGTTAATAAAATGTGATTATTTCTAAAGAAAAAGAAAAAAAAAGAAAATCCTAAATAAACCAGAAATATATGTGCTTATAAACTAAACCTGGATTACATATATATCCATTGTTGTCATAGTGCCAACAGGTTTGGGTCGGAATTCTCTGTGCAATAAAAAATGTGTCTTTGTCAGCCTGCAGGTTAATTACATCAGACACGCATGAGTAAGTAACTAAAGCCAACGCTGGCTGTACATTTTAAGGTGTTTTTCTACATCCAATATTAACTGACCCACCATGAAGTAGGATCTAATACATTAGCAACTGATATGCCGTGCGTCATATTGTCAGTTTATTGTTGCAAAGACAAACACTGACAGCACAGCACACTTAAGTTGATGCAATCTGCGGGCTTCGACCGATATCAGCAGAAAAAAGGTCTGACGTTACACACGTCTATTCAGAAACCAGACAAAAGGCAAGCGTGACAATTGAAAGTAAGATTTGGCACCGAAATTCCCCAAATGAAAACAACCTGAGAGCTGCTGACACAATCCTGCATGGGGGGGTGGGGGTGGGACATTATTCTGAGCAGAGACAAAAGCATAGCAAATAACACGCATGTTTCCTTTAAGTGCAGTGCGCAGTATATCTTGTCAACATTACAGCCGCCTGCATTCCACAGGTTGAGCAGAAGGATTTCAAATTAAAAGCACGGATAAATGTGTTTGGTTTTAAGTGACTTCGGCAACAAACAAAAAAGTGCCAGTTGCTGCATCAAAACTCAAGCCTGAGATATCACCTTTGAGAAGGTATTCATGTTGGGTGTTACTGACATGATGTCTATAACTTGATGAATCAATATCATCTTTTGGGATGACGCTTTGGTCAAACAGTTATAGCCGATCGACAGGAAAGAAAATGGGATAACTGTATTTATATTTCACAGAGAGAACTCTGTATTAGAGTAAAAAAAAGCTTGCAACGGGAATAGTTTTATTTGTTTTAAATCATTCTGACTCAAAGTAAAAGGAGCCAGTGATGCCGGTTTTCAGTGTACTTCACAAACTAGCAAAGAAACATCATCGATGTGATCGTTTCTTTAAGGGAAGGACATGGTTGAACCCAAGAGTGGTTTCAGCGAGCTTGCCTTGTTCCTTTATTTCATTCAAATTGACAAAAAAAAGAAAAAGGAGACAACATTTCCTCCATTTGGACCTCAACAATCACCCCTTTATCTCCCCCCTGCCCTCCCCCTCCCTCCCCCTGCACACGAGGGGGAAATCCGGACCAGGTGAAACCTTCCAGGCCCAAACAGGCCGACTGAGGCTTTCCACTGTGGACAGTCGGTCTGCGAGGAGCAACTGTTCCACCGCACCAAAAATAAGCACAGGATGATGCTCCTACCCCAAAACCCCTTTCTAGGAAAAGCATGATCAAGAATAGAAAAGAAAATGTCACTATTGTTTCCAGTGCGTCAACATTGGATCGCGTTTTAGGAAACTCACAAGGCAGGGAGGCTTCAAAGGACCCAGGGCCGTGTTTCCACGAAGAAAAACCTCCAACAGATAAAGCCTTCTTCTTGTGTCACGCCAACTTCGTATTTACTCAAACACCAGAGACAAGACAGACATCGGCACGAGACGTTTGACTTCGGACTTCATGTCGGATAGCCTTTTTTATGGCGAGAGTCTGTCCCTCCATGCCGAAATGAACGCAGGGAAAAATAAATATTTGTTTACCAGCCTGGTGACCGGATTATATATCAACGTCATGTTACTAAATAAGAGGACAAAGGTTCCAAAGGAAAGTTGCATTACACTTTTGAAGCTAGGATTGGGAGATTATACCTGGTTACTGTTGGTAGTGATATGGTCATCATGACGATTAGAAGACAACACTGTCCAACGGTTTATGGCAGTGTTCGTGTCTTTAAAGAGCCGTTCCCTTTCCCAATGCTCGGTCCTGTTTGTCTGTTTTCACTCACATCCTTTGTTGAGGACAAAGTTCCGAACTAACAGACTCATTCGACGGTCCTCGCTGACTGAAGCAGACCTGCATGCCGCCAATATTACTAAAGGTCGGTCCTCGCATGTCATACCTTGTAAAACCACCAGCGGCCCTCCACAAAAAACTTCAACATCAAGGTATTTGCTTGAAATATATTTAAATTTCTGATACTGTATCACCCAACAACTCCTAATTAGCAATTTCTCACCTACGGTGTGTAAATAAAAGCGGCCAAACTGTCTGCGGTGGTTTCGTGGCTAAATGCGCGAGCGATTGACAGGAGTAGAGAATAAAACATGGAGGGTAACCAAACACTTACTCTGCGTTGAAGCCATTAACGTGCAGTATTCGCATCTGTTTGACTATCGTGCTTTTCCCGGATTCACCGGCCCCTGAAAGCAGAAAAACAGAGTGTTCATTAAAGGTTGTGTCATTGACTACTACCCTGAGGGTTTAGGTGAAGTAGTTACTCTGCAGATTAAGAATCCACATGATGCAATTGGGAATATTAACATTGCTGAAGATGAAACGAGTGGTCCTCAAAACTTTTTACACATATAAGAGAACAACAGTGTGTAGTTGGGGCCCCTCGTTGCATACGTCTGATCATTGCTTGCAGATGAACCATAAAGACATTTCTCCTCTAAACTGACTGTTGGATGTCTGAAAAGGTCAAACTAGCATTTCATTAAGAAAGAAGCAATGACAAGAGAAAAGTCCCACTAAAAAAAAAGAAAATGGAGTAAAGTCGACCAACAGTTAAATGCTGCTGATGCACTTTTGCACAACGTCATGGATTTTATGTCAAATGAACTCTTTGAATCCAAACATTTCACTGAGAATAGTTGGGTGGGAGGTTGAGTGGAAGACTTTAACCTGCTTCCAGATGTGAGAGGGGACGAGGGCAGGAAGAGTCGGCCTGACTAGTAGTACAAGAGGAGCTTACGGTATTGTCCCGTATCGTGTTGTTTCTAAGAAGTGAGATGTTAGAAGTGAGCCTTGATAAATACTTTCAAGAATCAGGAAAATGTTACTTTCAATAAATAAGGCGCGATCAATTACGTTAGAAGCTCACAGATGTTTGTGAGCAAAAGAAGAAAAAAAAAAATGTCCTTTGCGTGTTCTAGTAGCATGAGCAGGACGGTCTATCGAGGGGAAGCCAGTAATCCGAATAGTAAAATCCGAATGTGCCCTCTGCCCTGCAAGAGGCTCGGCAGCACACTGGCCTTGGCTTGGAGGTTCAGACTCCATCATTAAATGGAGGCCCGGACGCCTGTTGGTGTGGCCTCTGCATGCTGCCTTCACACAAATGGCTGTCCCTCCTCCCCCCCGCACCCCACCCCCGTCCCGGGTTCTGAGATCACGCTCCGCAGCATCCTGCTTTTCAACTGTCCCGTGTGTCGGGGCCCTGTGAAACCTGGTGGTGTAGTGACATCACGTCATTGCATCATATATTGATGGCTCACTGTTATAGCAGGCAGGAAGGAGGAGGGGGGGGGGGCACATTAGGTACCTTTTTTTATCCACAGGGTGAAAAACACAACAAAAAACACTGGTACAGTTCTGCAACGCTTCAGCACAAAGTGCCCCCCCCCCCACACACACACACACACACACACATGAATGGTATTGGTTTTAGAGAGACCTACCTAACAGCAGCAGCCGGTGAGTCGCCCGGTAAATCTGTTTGTCCTTTTGGAGCTGCTTCTCTATCTTTTTGTTGGCTTCCCTCTGCGCCTTCTCCTCATTGCGTTGGTCTTCGGTCTTACTATTGCCCAGACAGCCCATCTTCCCCAAAACCCACTGATAGGTCCAGGGTGGGGGGAGAGAGGCAGGGTGGCTGGCTGGTTTGGTGGGGAGGGGAGGGGGGAGGAAGGAGGGAAGGAGGGAGGGTGTTGATCAGAAGAAAAGTCAATCAATCCTAAATTCCTAGACTGGCTCAGCAGACGAACACCTGGCTTAAAATGGGAGACATTTACGCCCGCCAGATGACACAAGACGTACAAAAACCGGTTAGGCAGAAGACGGCCGGGGCCCCCACCAGGCTGTGGCCCGACGGATGTGGCTATTAACTGGCAATTTAAAAAAAAAAAATCAAAAATCCCCCCCCCAAAAAAATCAACAAGAGATCCCTCCAAAGGGGAAATGAAGCGAGACTAAGCAGAAAGCAGCAGAGGCTCTCTGCCGCCCTCTCAGAGGCTCGATCCTGGTGTCTTTACACCGTAGATCCGCAATGAAGTCATCGGCGGCGATGGCGGAGAGTGGACGGGAAGCGGCCGGCCTTGGGACGTACATGAATGGACGTCACCGGTTCTGTTAAACGTGCTTTAACAATTTAAATAATGACGTTTTAAAAAAAATAAAAAATAAACATTTGCTTTCCTTCAGGTTAATGTTTAATTGTCTCAACAAACGTCTCCCCCGGAGCCCCTTTTCAGCACGCTGCCCATTCAATGCGTTTACACTTACAACCCCCCCCCTCTTCTTCTTTAAATGTATATTCCGAGTTATTAATTTTAGGGGGTTGTTTGCAAACCAACTAAGCGAACCACATCACAGGGCGGGTGTGAATTTTTATTTTTTTAATTACTCTAAAAATGACGGCATTCTAATCACAACCGTCTCTAAAATATATTCTACACCTTTTTTGGGGGGGGTGTTAGGGAAAGGGAAAGGGGAGTTGCAGTCGTTGGTGTTAGCAACCTTATCAATAATATCCTGGGTTTTTTCTTTAGCCGATGACAAAATTATTTCCTCTCCCTTCCACAGATGCTGATGCTTTTTTCTTTCTTTTTTATAAATCGTCGGTTTTGACCAGACCCCAAAAAACACAAAAAGGCCTCTTCTCCATCCCCCCTTTTCTTTCTGTAACGTTAATTTGTATTTCTTCCTCACAATCGGAAAGCTTGTCCGCGGGAGCTCGTGCAAGGTTTTCTTTTTCTTTTTTTTTTAGCAGTTGCACGTCCTTGAATATTAACGCGATATCCAGGTGATAGTCGCAGAAAATCCGTCCGTTATTCCCCCGTTCGGCGCAGGTAGCCGGCGCCCGCTGTCAAAGTCTCTCGGCGTTTTTTTTTTTTTTTTGGTTGTATTCCCTTCGAGTCCGTGTGGCAGATTGTGGTTACATGTGCATGATATACATGAACATACCGCGGTGTTTTCAGTCACTGGTCCAACGGCGAGACATTAGGCTTTTTTTTTACCGCCGACAGGCCGCGTCTGCTCCGGTGGACCGGTCGGGGAAACGAGAATCGTTTCTTTGCGGCGTTACTCTGAATTATTTTGACCCCCTTTTTGCTCAGAGAATGGCACATTGAGGGAGAGATAGCGCTGAGGAGGTGGGGTGGGGCAAACGGCTCTCACGGAACCCTGGGAACGAAGAGGTGGCGTCAAGCTGCCCGCGACAACGGTTTCAACTTCCGGTCAGGGCTTTAGAAAATAAAGCTCCCCCAAATATCCCACGTGTGGTCGTGACAGTGATAATGCTAATAATAATTAGAATAACGTTTATTTTAATTACACCTGTGAGGAGCATGCGACTAAAAGCGCATCGCGGCAAATCACGTAATAAAATAAATATATGAAAATTGTTTCTCCACAGCTTCTTAAGTTCCATAGGAGTTCCTATCTCTCTTGTCTTAAACCTAGTGTGAAAAACAACTGACAAACCTAAATCATTGCAGACCTGCTGCAGACCTGTAGACAAAACACAGGATCTAAAATCCAAATCCAACTTCTATTCTCTAAGAAATGGTTGAAAAAAAGTGACCAAATACCTTTCTACCATTTCTGCTATGACATTTTGGCTTCTGACTTTTTGGGGTCCGTTGCAATGTTTGAGTTGGTTCTGGCAAAAAAAGAGAGTCTCATTAAAGTATTTATTTAGATGACCTACTTCTTGAAAAGTATTAAAGAATGTCGAGAATAACTGTACTTGTTTTGTACAAAGTACAAAGTAATGCATCAATAAACTGTGCACAATCATTCAGTTTGGTTTCAAATATATATTTATTTATTATTGTTATTATTACAACCGATGCTATAAAGAACTCATATGTAACTTGTCTCATTCAACAACAATTGTACAGCAATCTAACAATACAAACCAATATCTGTAAGAATAGAGAGAAATAATTTACTGACAAAATCACAAATTCCTATAAATCCATTTAGTTATTAGTCCCGGTTACTTTGAAACCCTTTACATAACGTAATTCAGTAGCATATACTTCAAGGCAACTATGAATGGAAACTCACATATAATAAACGCTGGTCTTACCATTTCTTGTCAACGCTGACAAAAAGTTGTGCTTTAAGTTTGAAGTTAAGCTTAAAGTACTTCTTGTTTCCTCCTTGCTGCAGCTTGACGCATCTGGAATGAGGCAGGCTCGGATCACATGATCGCCCGTAGCGTCATGAAGCGGAGGTACAGAAGGGGAGAGGCGCCCTCTTTGAAGCAAAGTGATAATCAACCTATACACCAATACATTTATCAATGACGCTAAAAAAAACTATACAATAGGATTTGAAGATGTATTTTAATCAAAACAGTAAAGGCCATCGTATACTTTCAGCAGCAACAAGAGACTTCAAATGCTTGTATTGATTGATGATTTTTTTTTTAAGTTAAGGATAAGCTACTTCCAAACAAGCATTTCCATGCTCTTATTTATTATTACAAATATATTTCTTAGAATGTTTAAGAACGACTACCCCTCTTACGCTTGGATTTAATACCATTTTAATTGAAATGATATTAAATCAAATTCCTTTCCAACTTTGTCTCTGCTTGGATTGCTTCATGTGGATGTGGATCTTTAAACAGCTCCCTGTGAGCTCTCGCCTGAAAACCCTTGTGTGTCAAAAATGATACGACAAATACTCCATGGAACACGCACACACAAAACATCAATCTCCCCAATTATGTCCAAACGAAAGGGAGAGAAACTCAGGGCAAAACACAGGAAGGTCATCAATTACCAGTAAATACTACAGGGGATTTGTGTATCCCTGTTTGAGTCGCTTTATAATGTAACATGTCAAAAATGTGTTTTTGGAGCAACGCCTATCTGTATGTATAAAAGAACAGCAATGCTGTTTAAAAAGAAGGCCTGGTTGTCTTTCCGGTGGCTCAGTTATATTATATCATTAGATTTAAAATAAAACAGTTTGAATAAATTGACAAATAGCCACTTTATTCACATGTAAGATCCAAACAAATGATTAAAAAGAGAAGACGTGGGATTAAGTATGAATCCTTATATGTGTCATGACATCAGAAAATGTAAAAATGTACAAATTGAAATACTTTGTCAATTGACAAAACGATTGGAACCATTCCATTCCAACCATGTCATGCCATGCTGGTAGAATTCCTCTAGATGGCATCTCACATCTGCCAACCGCTGCTCATTGTTACCTCATTAGTTTTACACCTGCGACTTACTGTAGATGAGTATAGAAAACTGTGTTTGTTTAAGACGTGAAAGGGGAATGGGTAAATTATATCCAAATACTGCTGTGAGAAGTCAGCAAATTGTCAGATTATAATCTATTATGTCTATGCATTTTTCTGTCATTTAAAACTATTCCATCCCTTTAAACATGTAGCAACAATATATGTGGTGTATTTATGTGTGTGTGTGTGTGTGTGTGTGTGTGTGTGCGTGTGTGTGTGTGTGTGTGTGTGTGTGTGTGTGTGTGTGTGTGTGTGTGTACGCACTATGATCATATTAATGTCAAATGAGAGTTATCTGACACTGGCCAGGGAAACAAACTACTACATCTCCTCTTTACTTCCTTCCTGTTTTTGGTCACTGCTACAGATCACAGATGTGTTTTAGTCAAATTTTGCCAAAATAATAACTGTTTTCCCCTGTAACAGTTGATAATACATTAATTTAAGATGTTAGGAAGTTGCCCCCCCAAGTTTGCACAGCTTTTACATAATAGGAATTACCAAATGCCCTTTCCTTTCTTAATAATTCATATTTAATGCGACGTATCAGTATATTTATTCTAAAATGAAAAAATGAAAATGAAATCTAATATCAAAATGACAACAAAACATACAGAAGACAAATAGCTTCACTAAACTACTAAAACCCTCTCATATCAAAAAATAATCTTTGTTTATTATCATTCTGCTATTGTTCATTGGCTATTAGGAGCCTTTATACACAGTTGGGTGACTCCCCGACATCACTGATGACGTCATTTCGCCGGTGTATAAAAGGCTGGTTGGAGGACTGAAGCCTTTCAGACACCTCTGCTGCTCCGTGTACTGTAGCCCCATCATCATGCGTGAAATTGTACATTTGCAAATTGGGCAATGTGGCAACCAGATCGGATCAAAGGTAATTTAAAAAAAGCAGTTTATAGTATTTAGTAGATAAGACAAGTCACTGTTTGTGATAAAATGTTTCTTTTTTACGCTATCCGAGTTAAATGAGTTTTAACATGATCGATTCAAGTTGATAAAAATGATCAAAAAGTATATTTTCATTCAGTTAGGATAAAGGTAAAGATACACCCGTGTTGTTTTTGTGATGTTTTTAAACTAGTGACGCAGGGTGTACCCTGTAGAGTGTTCAGGGGAAAGATAAGGGGAAAAGCTTGTATGGGTGGAACTTTTTTTTTCTTCATTATCGCCTCAGCTGAAGGAACACAACTTGTTTAACAGTAGAGAATGTATGTATGAATACATACGTATGTATGTATGTATGTATGAATGTGAAACAACAACATTTTGCAGTCACACACAGACTGAACAGTTCATTAGATGATAAAAATGACTATTTTTGCGTCCAACTTCACACACAAACCTTTTAAGTCCCAGCGGCAAAAGGTGTAACACTAAGCTGTCTTTCACTAAACACTTTAAATCCATCGATATGATTATCTCTCTCTTTTGTCTTTTTCCAGTTTTGGGAAGTGATCAGCGAGGAACACGGGATCAATGCAACAGGCATCTATGAGGGAGACAACAACGTCCAACTGGAGAGGATCAACGTCTACTTCAATGAGGCGCACGGTGATTACTCCGTTCACAATACGCTGCTCAGTTAACCGCTTATTCAGTTTATTCCACAAACAACGTTAACCAGTCACGTACAATGCTCATTTTTAAATGTAAATGACATATACATGTTCGAGAAGCCCATTATACAGCCTGTGTTAGTGATTGAGTCCTTTCCGTTAGCAGGTGGTAAATATGTCCCCAGGGCCCTGCTTGTTGACCTGGAGCCCGGTACGATGGACAGCGTGAGAGGAAGCCGCATCGGAGCTCTTTTTAGGCCGGACAACTTCATCCACGGTGGGACAAATATGTCGCAAACAGGCCTAGTGGGGATTAACCTGTCGTGCTTGTTGTTATGTGGAAAAGGAATGACCGAATTCCACTTTAAGCTCTGGTGGTGCATCTGGTGCTTTGGAAACAAATGACTCCCGACTGGTGTACTAATACATTTGGCCTAATGGAAACAAATCAGAGAGAGTGAAGAGTAATTACCAGCCGTAAAAGAACATGGAATAACTCCAATAGATAGAAGATAAACAACATCCCCTGAATTTGAGTATTTAACCAAAGAAAAGTCCAAACACATTGTCAGCATACAATTGAATCTAAATGCGACGTGTTGGGTCTGGAAAAAAGAAGTATGTTATTCTATTGACAGGAAACTCCGGAGCTGGGAATAACTGGGCGAAGGGCCACTACACGGAGGGGGCGGAGCTGGTGGAGCAGGTGGTCGACAGAGTGCGGCACGAGAGTGAAAACTGCGACTGCCTGCAGGGCTTCCAGCTGGTTCACTCCCTCGGGGGGGGCACCGGCTCCGGCATGGGAACCCTCCTCATCAACAAGATCCGGGAGGAGTACCCCGACCGCATCATGAACACTTTCAGCGTCATGCCCTCCCCCAAAGTCTCGGACACGGTGGTGGAGCCCTACAACGCCACGCTGTCGGTCCACCAGCTCCTGGAGAACACGGACGAGACCTTCTGCTTCGACAACGAGGCCCTCTACGACATCTGCTTCCGCACGCTGAAACTGACCACGCCGACCTACGGGGACCTCAACCACCTGGTCTGCATGACCATGAGCGGGGTCACGACCTCTCTGAGGTTCCCCGGGCAGCTCAACGCCGACCTGAGGAAGCTGGCCGTCAACATGGTGCCTTTCCCTCGCCTCCACTTCTTCATGCCGGGCTTCGCCCCGCTGACGGCCCGCGGCAGCCAGCAGTACAGGGCCCTCTCGGTGCCCGAGCTCACCCAGCAGATGTTCGACGCCCGAAACATGATGACGGCGTGCGACCCCAGGAGGGGCCGCTACCTCACCGTGGCCGGCATCTTCCGCGGACGGATGTCCACCAAAGAGGTGGACGAGCAGATGCTCGCGGTCCAGCAGAAGCACAGCAACAACTTTGTGGAATGGATCCCCCATAACGTCAAAGTGGCCGTGTGTGACGTCCCGCCCCGAGGCCTCACGATGGCCTCCACCTTCATCGGCAACAACACGGCCATTCAGGAGATATTCCGGCGGGTGGGCGAGCAGTTCTCCCTGATGTTCAGACGGAAGGCTTTTCTCCACTGGTACACGGGAGAAGGTATGGATGAAATGGAGTTCACCGAGGCCGAGAGCAACCTCAACGACCTGGTGTCGGAGTACCAGCAGTACCAGGACGCCACGACCGATGTAGATTCGGAGGTAGAGGACGAACAAGAAGAGGGGCCCTCGTCGCCAGCGACAACAAAGGTTGAATCTCGGGTGGAAGTCAAACTGGAAACAGTTACGGAAACGGGCAAAGAGGCCGTGGCTGAGTAGAAGACGGAGGTCAAACAGTGCGGTGTGTAGGTTTGACACCTTGTTGGGAGGATGTGTAAAACCCTCGTTGGAGGGCTGGTCTGACAAAAAGAATCTTTTATTTTGGAGTTTAATGTATGCCCATGGTTGATTGAGAAAAGATATTTATTACACATTTTAGACAATAGTGTTTATTGCCTGCAAAGTGTTCTTCAAATGATCTGCGTGCTTTTATGTGTTTTTTGTTCTTTTTATAGTAAATCAATTAATGGAAAATGTTTGCATTTACAGGATATTATGTCAGTTCTATATAATCCAAAAAAAAGAAAAAACAAACACTGTTAGTCCAATATATACAACCGTAAATGTGTCACACAGTGTTTATAGATGATGATGGTAATAAAAAAAACAACACCTAGAAGATGTCTTATTCATTACATCACTAAAAATACCAAAACAGGTTTATTTCCCATTCTGTTTTATCCTCTGAACTGGATGGAACTGGATAACCGAACTCGACGACAGCTCAGTGACACCGCCAACGTTCAAGGCTGTCGCACAGTTTCCGCCAACTGTTGCACGAGTCTGGGACAGAGAGATTACACATAGCTCGGCACTCTGGCTGCACTTTGAGATAAGCACTCGTGACGTGGATATGAAGTTGCCTCTCGTAGGGATGAAGGAGATAATGCTCCATGTAACCCACGCGTGAATATGGGTTAATGTGACACAAGCCGGATTGGCTTGAAGAAGTTACAAGGAGGCAATGGGGTCAAGAAGGAGAAAAAGCCAAAATTTGCCAATTTATTTGATCCTGGGAGGCAGCCTCAATAATGCTGTAACAAATGTAATAGATAAATATCAGTGGAGCTGCCATGGTGAGATTAGAGACAGAATTTGTTGAGATCTTTTTAGTTTCACAGCCCAAACCTTTTCCGCAGTTTAAAAAAAAAAGTTGATTTCTGTTATGTCAGACTGTGGGGGAATGTGTTATGTGTCCTATATTACACCTAAATAGGCCACAGTGACACATCGCGGATGAATCCCTACGACATTCCCGTCGTGTTGCCATCTTTCATCCATTCAAGGTTGTAGAGAACTTTCAACCTTCACTAGGCTGATTTATGTAACATCCGAGGTTACGCGGCTGATGTCACACTGAAGGTCACACAGCTGAACGTGAAATACCGCGTGCTGTGGGCGGAGAGCGACAACTGCGCCATTCGGTTATTTGTTTTTTTACAAATAAACCTAGGATGCATTTTAACCCTTTAAAATGCATTCAGCCGATCGTTGCGTCAGAGGACTCGAGCGGCGCGCAGAGCACCGGCCGCGCGGAGCCGTCGCTCCCCACGTGACTGCTGACGTAGAGTGGGAGGAGACCGGCGGATGTCTCTGAACGTGTTCCGCGGATTTCCATCAGTTCGACCCGGCTTACCTCGACTCCGGCGTGAGCAGCTCCTGTCAGCTAACCGTAACTAACGCTCAACGATGAAGATCTGGGCGTCAGAGCACGTATTTAAGTGAGTAACCGACGTCACGTTACCTTTATTCTGCTGCGGGCGATGCTTTTAGAGACGCTGCGGCTGAGAGAGAGTTGAGTACCGTCAGCTGGCTGCGTGTTTAACCCGGTTTATCACACTAAACGTCAACTAAACAAAGCTTGCCGCTATAACGCAACTACGTGGTCGTAGCTAGTTTGCTAGTAGCATATGCTAACAATAGAAAAATCTATTTATCGTCATATTCCGCCCCATGTAGCCAGCTAGCTTAACGTTAGCTCGCTGTGCTTAAACAGCTATGCGCACACGCCTAAAGAGTGAGGTTACGGACAAACCCAAAGCGTTGAACCGGATCTGTAGTGAACACCGAACCGGTTGCAAAATGAAAGCGTCTAGTCGCGTCATACGCCGGTCAGCACCGGCCCCCGAGCACGCGACCTTTCCCCTACATTTCTTCTCTGCCGTGGCTGATTGCGTCACTGAGTTACGTTGTAACGTCCACGCGTCTCCATGGCAACCATCCAGTTTGACGTTAGATTCATCTTTACTTTAGAGAGCTATTTAGTAACTATGTCATTGTGGAACCGGGCTAAATCAAAGTGTCGAGTCCTGCATATCTAGTCATTATAGCTCAATGTCAAAGAAATTACTAACTAAAACTAATTAGTGGAAGCAAACGCCCCCTGTTGTAACCTATTACATACTATACCGTTGGAGCTTTCATTTGTAATTCATATTTAATGTTGATGGTCAAATCTCTACTATACGCTGTCATAAAGTTTAATCCGTAACAATCCATGAGATTTCCTAAATTGATTGTATTTGTTAAATGTAAAGGAGCCATGAACATTTCCCTCTGAAAAACAAGAGAAGAAGCTCAGAGCTGCGAATCCTCAAGACCGATGTGACGTGTATTTCAAAATTGTAAAGTTGTGCGTTTCTAAATACATGTTGATTCACTACCAGATCGTCATTTAGCCAGTGTTTGCATTTTCTGGCTTTTTCAATAATATTGTTGTTCCGTGGCCTTCCTTCAACAGTCATCCTTGGGAGACGGTCACCAAGGCTGCCATGCAAAAGTACCCCAACCCCATGAACCCCAGCGTTATCGGAGTGGATGTGTTGGACAGAAGCATCGACAAACAGGGACGCCTCCACAGTAAAAGACTGCTCGGCACAGACTGGGGTCTTCCATCCATCGTGAAAGCCGTGAGTTTAAAAGAATCTGGGTCCGCGGTCTTGAGTCACTGCAACATGCTTTTGTTGCTGCAACCGCGGCGTGTGGTGTAACTCGTTTGGTCACACTCGAAATGCACACACGTGACTGAGAAACACATGACCTGCGAGTATGTGCTTGTGGGAATAGTCCGTTAAGTACCACAGATAGTGCAGGCTAAGGCTTTCCAGCCTTTGAGCCCACGGGGCTATTTCGGTCCAGGGGATGCAGCGGACCGGGTTTGCTGAATGGTGGCACGCCTCGTGTTGTACAGGCCACCGTAGTGCCATTTCTTACATCGCTGATATTTAACTCCTGGCACCTTGTGATGTGACTTTCCATCGCCGCGTGACCGACTCCAACTGGAGGTCAGCAGAGGTGATTGAACCTCCCACGGGGTCGGTAGACTTTCTGAATTCACTGGCTCTTGTGAGGCTGATTAAACACTGGCTAATCAGTTGTGGTTGACCTTTTGTCTTGTGTATGGGGTTGTTTTCAGGGGCAAGATCTATGCAAAGCCCCTTTTTAATTCACTGTCACAGTGACTGAATATTAAGGCAAACCTCAATCAGAACGTCTCAAAGCACATCAGCCCTGAGCCACAGTGTGAGCATGAAGACGTCTACTTTGGCATCAGTTTACCGCTATATGATTCAAAGGTTTTATTTACGGTGACAAATAACACCATATATGAGCATACAATGAAAAGAATCCCTCTTTTTCAAAAAACTCATGTTTTTAATGCTCACGCAGGCACGTTAGATTTACAGACATCATTTATTTAACATTTTCCATCTTTGCCCACAGATCATCGGTAACGCACGGACATGCACGTACATTCAGGAGAAATCGGTGGTGGATCCCATCGAGAAGATATTCGAGCTTCAGTCCTCTAATGTGAGTTCCTCTGACACTTCGCCCTCCCCTGCTCGCGCCCTCGGGTTGATGTTGAGATTGACCACGATGCACATCGTCTGATCAACTATCAAAGAGCCGTGTTTAGTTTATTGAGTTATAGTTCTGGTATGAAGCATTGGTTGTTGCACAGGTTCATAGTTTCATCAATCAATCAATCATTTTGAGTTTGTTTATTATGGGATATTTCCTCCGCAGATCACTTTCACAAACCTGGTGTCGGTGGATGAAAAGTTAACATATAAACCACACCCTGAGGACACAGAAAAGTAGGTCTGGTTTTTGACATAGAATTCTGTTTCCTAATACCAATGAATTATGAATAATCCTCATTTCTTTCAACCTGTGTGAACACTAGAACAATCTTGACCCAAGAGGCGATCATCTCTGTGAAGGGAGTCAGCCTCAGCAGCTACTTGGAGGGAGTATTGGCCACCACCATGTCTGCTAACGCCGGAAAGGTTCGAGATCCCCTTTATTTGAAAATTTGGAGTCAAAACACACGTGAGACCGTGAGCTGAAAAATGAATGTGAAAATGAATGGAATATAGATTCTGTCCTGCACTTGAACACTTGATCACAACAGTGTATCCCAACCTGTTTTAGGATGTCATCTCTAGAAATGAAGCACTGAAGAGATGTTGTCCTTTAGTGTAGACATAGGTTATATTAACATATTTTATTTTTACAAGCCCAGAAACAATGTAAATTATTGAATATTTCAAAGAACAACAATTAATGCAATTACTGATATTTAAATTAAGGGATTAAGAAGCATGCTTTCCGATAGTAATAAAAATTATGTAAACCAAAGCTCTCTTTTGTTTGACGGCGACAGGTCATTCACGCCTTTTCCGTCTATTCACTTTGCAAAACTTTTTGTTCCCCCCTGTGTGGACTAATCGTCTGTTGATCGGTTTGTTCTTCTTCAGGGCCGTGAAGCCTTGGAGTGGGTCATCCGGCGGCTGAATGCAGAGATCGAGGAGCTGGCGGCGTCGGCACGCGGGACCATGCGAACCCCGATGGCTGCTGCGGTCACTGAGAACTGACGCCTGACCCTCTTTGCCAGCGGACTCTGAGAGAAACTGCACACCGGGACATCGAGCCTCACTTTTTGATGCTCCGGTGCTGCTTTTGGTGCTCTGGAAAAAACGTTTTTGTATTATTTTAAGATACAATTCATCCATCTCATATGCTTTTACTATCTACATTAGATACATTTTTTAATAGCAGACGGCAACAAAAGGGAATTCTGTGGCGCATCTTTCTAGGATGCTGCCTGGCGGAGCCGCAGAGATAAAAGACTCAGACACAAGTTTAAACACCACCGTTATCTGTGGGTTCAGAAACATGTAGCGAAGAGGAACCCGGAGCACTGGAGGAGATTAAAAGCAGGAAAGTGCCAAAGCAGACGCAACTCTTTGTCACCAGCATCTTTACCTCAGAAGTCTCCTTTTTACAGTTAAAAGATAAAACCAGTCATGAGATATGTAGAGTGAGCTGAGAGGAAAACAATCCTCTATTGAGGCAGAAGTCGAGTGCAATGCATGTCAAGGGTACAGAGGTTTGGAGTGTACCTCAGTAGATGGTTTGGTTGACATGGTGATGATGTCAATACATTTGAACTGTACTTCATACGGGACAGTAATGAAAACACACACTGCAACCGGCGACATCTGTGAGCCTGAATATAAACTGTGGTTTGTTCTTATGTGAAAACTATTATTTAAGTGAAATGAAGGGATCAAGGTATTTGCCATATTTATGTTTTTTAAAGAGACGTAGAAGATCTTCTCAAATGCTGCGTTTGTATAACTTCCATATCAATCACATTCACTACCTGGACATGTTTGATCAATACTGCTGTTTCTGCGTTATTACACAGTCTTCTCAGCAGGAAAGCCGAGACTGTTGCATGGACTTTATTTGCACTTATGAAATATTAAATGTGAAGAAAGAAAAGCTGCTGCACACATGACGATCTGTGGATGCTTGTTTGACAGACGATTTGCCTTCGAGAAGGTCTTTCTTTATATAAAAGACAGCAGTGTGGTGATGTGAAAGTTAAGCTTCTCTATTATTAACACTTAGGTTGGTTTACCTGAAACAGGAATATTTATTTACAGAGCGAGTTGAACTTTGGTTGGAAATTGAGAAATGGGGAAAACGCATGCTTGATAATGTAATTATCATAGAATTTGTGCATTATGTCTGGTTGCCTGTTGAGAGATACGGTTTCAGCAACTTGCAGATTTTGATAATGAAATAGAATACGTTAACATGTTTGATATAAGATTTTTTGCTAGTAGTTTTTAAAATGATTTCCATTAAAAAAAAAAAGACCTGGATGGTGTTGATATACAAATCAACTGTATCAGAAAGACAAAATGTTCGCTTTAGTTAGAACTCCATATAAGTTCATATATCTAACTATTTAACTGACTTTTTAAGTTGCAAAATGGCCCCCAACTGACTTTGTTTGATGTATGTGATTCTGCCAAAACGGTTCAGGTTCAGTCAGTGATTGAATTCAAAGTCATTGTTACCTAAAGGGTGTGACGGTATGTTCGCGCTGTACTTCTCTGTATCTTCAGCGGGTGTGGACCAGTAGAACTGCATTCTTCTGATGATGGTCACACACTTTCATTCAAGAGTTATGCTGCCACACTTTGGCCAAATGCTAGACTTCCAATTCCATTTTGAGAAGAAGCGTACAAACAAGTGTAAAAAAAAAAAATGTTATGTTATGTCACCGTGTTTAAAAGGTCGGGCCAAAGTAAGCCTTTAAGTTACAAACTTTAAGTGAATACTTGAAAATAAAGTAATTTACTGTATGATCTGTGTCCTACATTTTTTCTTCAAATGGGTAATCATATGTAACTTATAAAATAGCCCTGTCAAAAAAAAGTGTTCAAAACGATACTCCCATGACTGATAAAAAAGACCTTTTATTAATAAATGTCTCTGTATAATGGAGACATATGTACCTGTGTGTTGGGCTAAATTTCTCACTCTGCTAGCATAACAGTCATTATAAAAAAATAATAATTGTATTAATAAGTCGTCCTCCACTGGTAATTGCAGATTTAGTATCTTTCCCAGGAAGATGCGATGTGTGTAGTTCACACGGACGCTTTCTGGTTCGATGTCGCAGCCTCTGCTGTCTGGGAGGATTTCCTCTGACGTCACACTACACGCTTTAAATCAGCCTATGAGGAGCGAGCACAGAGCATTTTCTCAACCAATCGGTGGCCGTGGTGTATTTAAAGGTTTTGAAGCGAGGGACGTTTGAAACTGAAGTCCCTCGGTCAGTGTTTGGAGGAAGTGTGTAAGATAGACGGCGTTGAAGTTAAGTCCGCATAGATTTACAATCTGGTTTGACCCATATAAATCTGCATTTTACCTGCAAGACTGTTTAACATCTATCTTGCGGTAACGTTACCTTCCGTATTTATGTAGTCGCAAACGCCAGCTCTCGTTAACGGGCCGACGTACCTGCTAGCTAACGGTAACGTTAAAGCTCGAGAGCTAATTTAGGGATTAGATTCTGGATTACACATCGGTCAGTTTCTCCCGGTCATTGTGCAACAAGACGTTTTGGTAAGTAACGCTGGGATCGCATGTCAATAGATCCGCGTCGCGTGTTTTGGATGCTATGGTTAACAGATCGCTAACGTTAGCTCCAACTTAACGTTCTCGTCTGTGAGGCTTGATTTGTTAGCCGCCAGGCGCAGCATGCTAACACCGGGCCGTTTGTAATTATCATCCTTTTTTTCTAAAAATAAGCAAGTATCTGATGCGTTACACAATCTCTGGGATCGCAACGATCGTGTTCATGTGAACGTTGACACTCAAACGACCCTCTTTTTTTAAAATCAGAATATGGACTCATCTGGCAGGCTGAGACTGACCAAGGACATGAAGCTTCAAAGACCTGAACTCACGGTAATTCTCAATCTTACCAGAGAATACAAATCAATTCTTTCCCATGTTGTGTGCTCTGTTTCCTGAACTTCATTATTGTATGTTGGTATGAATGTATTGCGCTTTCAGGGCCCCTGTGTACCATTAAGATATATCACACACACACACACACAGTTATGGTTGTTCGAGCACAGCTTGAAGGTGTTAATCCAACAGGATTTGAGGTTCATAAATCTTAATGCTCTGTCAGTTTATTCCCAGTTTCTTTTTTTGATTTGTTTGCAGTCCAACTGTGACGGGCCGAAGCGGATCCCGGTGTCCCATCAGTCGCAGGCTGCTGTGGTCACACCGACTCCTCACCAGCGGGTTCTAGGCGTGTCAAACGGGCCCCGGCGCATTCAGCGGCCCGCGTCGCACCAAAAACCGGCGTCTCAGGTCTCTGCGGTGGTCAAGTCCACGCACCCCACTGATCAGAACGTGAACCCCGCCGCTCAGGCCGGACACCGTGCGCCACAGCCCAAACGCGTTTCTCAACAGATCCAACCAAAGACAAATGTGAACCCGGAGCCGGCCAAGGCGCCGTCGGAACCGGCAAACCCAGACAAGCCACAGAGTAGGCGCAATACAAAGTCAGGCAAATAATTGATATGAAGTATTTTGGCATTCTAAAACTCATTTTGTTGACAGGCCAACCGACCAAGAACGATTCCGGCACCTCTGCGTCAAAGTAAGTGTGATTAAAGGACCGTATTTTAAAAATGTATTGACGAGTCGTGGTTGTCAGTAACTGCACGTTTCTGCTCGCGCAGCAGGCGGTGGAGCCTGGAGAATTTCGACATTGGCCGTCCCTTAGGAAAGGGTAAATTTGGAAATGTCTACCTGGCCAGAGAGCAACAAAGTAAGTTCATCTTGGCCCTGAAGGTGCTGTTCAAGAAGCAGCTGGAGAAGGCCGGGGTGGAGCACCAGCTGAGGAGAGAGGTGGAGATCCAGTCTCACCTCAGGTAATTCATTGTTTAATATATATGTGTATTATTTTTTTGCCAAAATGGCTCCTTCAAACCCATAATTGTAAAGTGGAAGGGTACACTACTTATGCAATAAACACACACACACACACGTATAAATGTGTTGGTTTTGTATGCATGCAATACACCCGTCTCTTGACACAATGGTGGAAGGACTGTTTCCCCCCCCCCGTGTTTGATACAGCAGTCTCTCGTGCACTTCAGCGTCCTTTGTGCCATTCTAGCAAGGCTGAGAAAACTCTTAATGTAGTGAAGGTATTCTGCTACTGGGTAGATCATAAACCAGCAGATCAATGCTCCGTTCACTTTTCTATTTAAGTTGAAGGCTTAACTACCCATGCTGGTCTTAGTTTTGAAGAAGATTCCTCCAGAAAGGCTGGCTTCATTTAGTTCTGTGCATTTACTTTGCTCCATTGGCATAGTGTGTGTGTATATATATTTTTATTTATTTTATTTCATTCATTCCTCTGCAGGCACCCAAATATCCTGCGTCTCTACGGTTACTTCCATGACTTGTCACGTGTCTATCTCATCCTGGAGTTTGCACCCAAGGGTGAGCTGTACAGTGAGCTGCAGCGCTGTGGATGTTTTCCGGAGGCCAGAAGTGCCACAGTAAGTGCAAGGCGAACTTTGCTATAAAATGATCGATTGGCTTGGCCAACTTAAGCACGTGTATAATTCAGTGCACGTGATTATTGTAGTCCATTAAGGGTGTACTATTCCAGAAAACCTGTTCTTTCTTAGGGTTTTATTTTTCATAAGATGTGTTTCATTCACCGTGCTTTACTCCCTGTTCTAGTACATAATGGAACTGGCCGACGCACTCAACTATTGCCACTCCAAGAAGGTGATCCACAGGGACATAAAACCAGAGAACCTGTTACTGGGGGCCAACGGAGAGCTCAAGATTGCAGACTTTGGCTGGTCCGTCCACACTCCCTCCTCCAGGTATGCACACATGTTCTTGTCCAAACGGTGTCCCTTTTTTTTTTTCTTTTGATAATAGAGCTATGTGATATTGAATCTGTGATTGCAATTCACTAGTTTACTTTTTTTTTTTTTTTTTTTTGGCTTTGCTTGTGTCAACAAATTATTTTTGCCCCTCTGCATCGGCTTCCCAGCTTAAACCAGCAAATATTAATTTCTCTCCATCTAGGAGATCCACACTCTGCGGCACGCTGGACTATTTGCCTCCAGAGATGATTGAGGGAAAAACTCACGATGAGAAGGTGGATCTGTGGAGTCTTGGCGTCCTTTGCTACGAGTTCCTGGTGGGAAAGCCACCCTTTGAAACGAAGAGTCACGAGGAGACCTACCGCAAGATATCAAGGGTAAGTCACGGAGCGCGATCCGCCCGGACAATCTGCGTGTACTGCAGAGCGCTGTAGTTTCGTCCCACTTGAGTCACTACGGTTCAGCAGTTACATCTTTTTTGCTGGTTGTCTGCCTTTGTCCTCCAGGTGGAGTACACTTACCCCACACAAGCCAATATCAGTGCTGGAGCCAAAGACTTGGTTGCGAGGCTGCTGAAGCACAACCCGATGCAAAGACTGCCCATCCAGGGAGTCCTGGCTCACCCCTGGGTGGTTGAGAGCGCCACCAAGAAACCCACAACTCTAACCAGCGACGAGCTCAGCCAGTGAGGGCCCCCCCCTCCATCAAACACCGGAGGTGTGCAGAACACACCAGCTGCACGAAGGTGGGGGGGAAAAGGACACATCACAATTTGCTTGTATGAGTATATTGATCTATTTGTGTGCAGCCATCTTGAGCCACTTTTTCCTTTTTCAATTTGTTTGTTTGTCCCCCTTCTCTTTTATTTCTTTTATCCTTTCCTTAAATGGGATCCACTTGTCTGTAAATATTCCGCTGTATTGTGTAATTATGAGAATTGTATTGAACTTTTCTAAAATGCCATAACTTGAAATAAAAGATGTATCTTTTGTGGAATGTGGCACGCTTGAATTTAACTGTCTTAAAGTGAAACCATGTTTATTAATCCGCAATTCAAGGTGTTGTCTAGTTGTAGTATTTTGCACAATATCGTCATTCATCACCCTTTTTATTAAGCTCTCCTATCGGCACGTGACCAGCAGAGGGCGCCAGTACACCACTAGAGTCCAATTGGGGAACTGTAACCGAATTATTCTGCTGACCCTGTTAATAAACATGTTTCATATTTAATGTCTGCTACAATAAAATGTTTTATGTACAGTTTCATGTTAATTTCTATAGCTTTTTAGCTCTCATTTAAAGAAAATTAAAGATTTCTTTTTTTTTATTTTTTTTAATCTAACTTTGTCAACACAAACTTAATTGTAGAAACAACGTATTCCACAAAGCTGTTGCCTTGGAGACCAGTTCAATGTGAAAAGTACTTTAGGTAAAACAGTGACGACATCGTAGAAACTACAATAAAATATCTCAAACGGGCACTAGGTGGCCCCCGAGCCACAATGTTTAGTTACGTAAAACACGTAATACCTGTCAATTGAGAATGGATGTATTTAGTTTGCGGTTTGACTTGTCAGGCTACCTTCTTTCGGGTTTTAAGCTTTAATTTGAGTGAATTTATGTAAAAAACTGATGTGGGTCCTCGGGGAAATGGCTCAATTGTATCCGATGCGCTTTAATTCTGAACAAGGGCCAAGTTCTTTGAGTCTTTCACAGGTGTGTCAGTGTTTTGCTGGCGCTTCTTGGCTGTGAATTATTTTATAAATGTTTGATCCCCTTCCTTTCCCCCTCTCCGTGCAGATTCGTTTCGTGTGAACTGGCTCTTTTTAAACCAGCAGCCAATGTGTGCTCCAATCGTGCATGCACCAGGTAGCTAGTTTCAACAGCTGGATATTCGCCCACTCGGTGAACACGCGCTTTGTCCAGATGTTGTCTGGGCCATAAAGCCCGATTCACGCCTGCAGCAGAAAATCTGTTGAGATTATTTTCGGTGGAGCACGTTGAGATCCAAAGGCCCGGGGTTAAACATGGGTGCTTATTGGTAGGATTTGTAAGAGGATTTGGTGTAGACGGGGGAGGCCTGTATCGGCCCCCGCCTCATACACACACACACAAACACCGACACACACACGGTTATTTTCCTTTGAGCCGCCGGCCCTTTGCAGCCCTCACACGGTGTCTCTCTGCTTCAACTCGATTAAAAAAAACATATATATGAATGCGACTATTTGCTCAATTTTCTGTCTTTTATTATAGAGAAAAAAATACATGTTCTGAACGTTTTTCGTTTTACATAAAACCACACACATTTTTACAATATAATTTCACTTATTTCTTTATTCTTTAATATTAATTTCACAATATATGATAACGACTTTGAGATATACATTCCATCTTTTTGAAACCACAATAACGCACTACACATACTGTTTTATAACATTTCAACAGGACCCATTGGATTGCACAGAATGAAAAATGTTTGTATGCACAATTTCCTTTTTAAAGATATCTTTTTTTTTAATTTTTGATTTAAGACACCAACATTTTTAGACCGGACTCTTCTAATCAATTTCAGCTATGTTTTCAAATGCAATGACACAGAAATTATGCTAAATTGAATCTGCATGTTTTGATCTAGCTGAGATTTAGGCCAGGGGTTGAATGTGTATCTCAGGTCTGGTGAATTTTGCTATTGCCGATTTGAAAAACTCAAAATAATCCTGAAATATTGGAGAAAAAAATATCAAAGCAAAACTGTTCACGGAGTTTCACGGAGAAGAATCGAAATTTGCAGGATTTCCATTTCTCAGTTTCATTATTTTTTTTGTGTTTAAAATGTCCTACATTCAATGCATAGTTTGTATAGCTGCTGTTTACTTGGATATTCTGCATTCACCGTAATGTTGAACTGCTCGGGGAAGGTCCAATGTCCTCATTTCTAACATATTTCTACGCATTCGTGTGTTTTATGCTCGTCATTGCCGTTCTGTTATTTTTCCGTCCCACGGGCTTTTTCTAGATGTATCACCACATTCACAGCCCACAATAACGTTGCAAATTACCTAAAGAAGAAAGGGACATTTCTTAACGTTTTTACTTTACTTCTTTTAAACTTAAATCAATTATGCGGTCCGTCCATCACAAAATCTAGCGTTACATGAAGTGAAGTCTCGTGTGGGGAACCACTACAAGAGCGACGATGAGACAAACTGCCCTTTTTGCAATATTCTTTAAGGTCCATATTGTAAACGTTCACTCCACTGGAAAATATGTATATGTACGTTTGTTCGCATATTTATACAACATGTACTGTCCATATAGTGTGTTGTGGATGCATTCGATTCCCTCACTGCCACGGACTCTTCGTATGTGTGTGTGTGTGTGTGTGCGTGTGCGTGCGTGTTTCTGCGCGCGCGCGCGTGTGAATTGATGCAAGACTGGATGAACGCAGACATGTCCGCGAGCGCGCGTTTTACGCATGAACTAAGCGGAGGGGCTGCGCGTGTGTTTCTTTTCTTCTTTTTTTTTTCACTAAATGGCGGTTAGCAGTTTTTACATCTACTTCCAGCAATGCATCTACTCGTGTATGTTATACTTAAAGGCCTCTATCAGACCTTCCATCGAGTGGATAAAACCAGATATGCTGCATATGCCTCCTATTACAAATATGGCGACGTCAAAGAAAACCTGGTGCCATAGCAGCTTTCTCCATAGAAGCCTGAGGTGGAAGAGACTGGGGAGCAGAAAGCACAGGCCGGCGCCCGTCAGGCTGCCGGTGAGACCCATGAGGAGAGCGAAATGCGGCACATAGATCGCCATGAGCAAGGTGAACACGACAAGGAGGCATCGGAGACTGAGTCCCCAGGATTTAAGGCGTCCGTCGCCTGCGTAACAATCTGGAAAGATCGCACGTCCTCCGTCCTGGAAAAACGACTTCTCCAATACCTCGACAGCAGCGAAAAACGGCAGCGGATATGACAGCAAGGCTTTGGACACGAGGAAGAGGTTGACGACAGCTCTGATGGTCGAAGGCAGGTTGTCTGTGATGACCTCCTTGGTCGTATCAGCCCAGGTCAAATAGGCCACGAGGGCGAACAGGCCCTTGAGGATGCAGGCAGCGATGTGAGTCCAGTTCATCATGCAGTGGAACTCGCTTGGTTTCGACATGTTCCCCTCCAGAGACGGCAAGAAGATCTGCGAGGTGTAGCTGAACACAATAATCCCAATGGAGATGGGGAACTTCTTGACGTCGATGTAAAACTTGACCTTGTCCCACGCCCAGTCCCTGGCCCTGGAGAGGCAGTAGGCGATCACCAGCACGTTGATGACAAAGTGGGCCATCGTGCACAGCAGGCTGAACTTGGAGACGGATTTCAGGTTCTTGAGGAAGGCGCATGGGAGGAGAGCCGCGGTGGCGATGATGGCCCACGACTTCTGGGATATTGGCATGTTGGGGAAGCTGTTATACATGAGGTTACCGCTGACCACCACATACAAGATACAAGTCATCACTAGCTCTATGATTTGGGCTACATTCACGATATGGCCACCCAGAGATGGGAATCTGGGCGCGCAGCAGGCGTTGGCAATGTCCACATAGGAGTCCCGCACGCGGACGAGCTGTCCGTCTTCGTCCTCCTCGTACAGACAGGCAATGAGGATTTTCCCCGTGTAACAGCACACAACGGCGGCAAAAATAATGAGAAAAAGTCCGAGGTATCCTCCGTGCAGGATGGCGTAGGGCAACCCAAGAACGAACATCCCCTACACACACGAACAAAGACATTGAGAATTGGGTTAAACTGTTGGCGATTAAATGTGAATCCTTGACGCTTTTCTGAACACGTCGAGTTTTATTTCAATCAAATAAATATCATGACTCGGGCCTCGTCGTTAGTCCCTCCCGTTTTTATGTTGTGGGTTTTCCACTTCGCTTTGAGCGCATCCGCCCGCTTGTGACGTCACCCCAAACTGGAGGAGACACGCCCTGACGTCACCGGGACCGCCGTGACCAATGCCTTGATCGGGCATGAAAGGATGATGATGTCTAGAGATTTTTGTCGCAGAGCGTGTTTGCGCTACTCCCGAGTGGGTCGTTGCACTTGGAATGAAATTTCCGCACCGACATAAAAAGAAACATCTTTTCTGCTTCGGACACCGTTGTAACAAATACGGCTCTACACATTTCATTCACATTTCCTTAGATCTTTATAATATAGTTATTATAATTAATAACCTGCCTTTAATTTGACGCGAAACAATCCTTCTCTTCAATCTCTTCTAAACTCTATGCGAACGGTTGTTCTTTTTTTTCCAGATTTAATTGATTTATTGACACTTAGCGGAGCAGGTTTTAGGGGTGAGCATTGGTGGCAATGGGCATCACTATACGGACAAAAGAATGCGTTGAGAGGAGGCGGAGGGTGAGAGGGGGGCATCATCTACCTCCCTGTTTCCAGCGCATCCTTAGCAAATCTGAAATATCTGCTCTGCTCCAATAAAAAATACATCACCTGGATTTTTTTTTTTTAAGATAAAAAGTAACTCAGGTGAATCTTTTGGACACAACCTGGTGTTTTGAACGGGGGTATTTAACCAACCTTTTATTGGGTGGCATGCAGGTGAGCGTCTATCTTTCATTTTTCCGGCACCGTGAAGTTTTACCTGGATCGCGTTCGTGACGTTCCAGCCCGCCTCCCACGCGGTGATTTTTGGTCTGACTTCAGTCAAGTCGCTCGCCGGATCTCCGTCTTTTGAGGCCGAGCGCGGTGGACCGGTGCCGTCCCTCTGGTAGTGGCTGTCCCCGTCCACGCCGCCGCCCCCCTCGCCGCTGCCCTCGCCTCCCATCTCATCGGTGGTCAAAATGTCCATCTGCATGCCCTGCCGGTGGTCGTAGTCCAGGTCGTCGCAGGCAACGAAGCCCAGCGCCTCCTCGTTGGTGGCGGCCTGGAACCCCATCCGGGCGAACATCCCGCTCACCTTCGCCTGGGATTTGTTGGAGACAGTCGTGGCTGCATTTGACAGTTTATTCGAAAGCTTGCTTCTGATTAACGTCGCCATTTTTTTTGCGCTCTTCTTCTGAATCGCAACTTTCTGCAGCTTAATTTGCGTGTTTTTCCTTCTCCGGTCGGTAGGAACGCGGGGCTACTTTGGATGACAGCTCTTGGTTCTCTGCATTAGATATAAAGCCAGGAGGCAAAAGTCAAGTTTTAAGACACCGACGGTTTTCAGTTGCTATCTCCACTTCTTGTTCAACGTAC